AGTTTCGGATTTTAAAACAACGATACATCGCCTCGATGGCACATAAGCAGAATGTGCATGCATACATCCTTCCATTCAGCCGGCCGTCCATCCCTACACACATGTCTGTTTGAAAGCTTACTTGCACACACACGTAGCAGATAAAGATACGGATATAGACATAGATATCGACATGTATATGGAAAAGGATAATATAGATATCGATACAGATACATATATAGGTATAGGCACAGAAAAAGATACTGATTTAGAAATGGGAATGGAGATAGAGATTATAGATGTAGGAAAATTAGAGATATCTAGATATAGAAAAAGATGTGGGTGTAGATAGAAATCAGGATAGATCGGGAAGGAGACAGTGTTTCCTCTTCTATAAACGCATGTCCACACATGCTCGCATGCACGTATTCCGTGTATATCAGAGTGGGTTAAGATGTTTCGTGGTGGTCGTTTTCTGTTTGTACGATGCTTCATGCACGGGCAACAATGCTAACCCTATTTAGCTATCCAGCCTCCAGAATACAGGCCGTGAAATCGTTCCGGCCAAGTGTCGCTAAGCCGATGTTATTCACCTTTTTGGTTCCAGACGGTAGGTAGACGAAGTCATATCTTGGCCGCTCCAAATGCCTCGGCGGCCACAGGCAGTGGGATTTGTCCAAGTCAGCGCATTAAGATGCATGCAACAAGCTCAACCAACTCCGACAGAACAAGCAGGGGTCTCTCGTCGCTGCAAAAACAAGTCCAGAACCCTCCCGCCCAAAAAGATCCTCCCGAACCCCCTAAACCCTAAACCCCCTTTCTGCTCTGCGTGCCTGGCGGCCTTGAGGCTCTATCTAGCATCGACAGGAGCCCTGCCATTGTTAGCCCACGGCTAACGCCCCTCATCGACACTGATGTGACCCCCTGCTCGGGTGTCCTCAGAGAGAGCCGTGGATGAATCGATCTTCAGCATCGAATCTAGGGGGCCCTTGATGGCTAGAATAGGTTTGTGGGCTGTGCTCTACCCACATAGCGACTGCAGGGGACAGCATCAGTAGTTCCCCCTTACACAGTGTGACACAGCTCGTTGTACCTAGGCACTTGTCGTCGCGGTTGCAAATCGTGCTTGTGCCGTCGCCGTCACTGCTCGAGAACTTGCCCTACTTGCGCAATTGAGAGGCCCGAAAATTTGTCTCCCCTAAACCCTAAACCCCAAAACCCCTAAACCCAAGCCCCAAACCCTAAGCCCTAAACCCTAAATCCCAAGCCCCAGCCCCAAACCCTAAACCCTAAGTTAAAACCAAAACCCTCAACCCTCATCCTGAAAGCTTCGAAAGTGCCCCCTAGGTATATACCTTAATATAGCTCTTATATACCCATTATATAGCCCATTATAGGGTAAGGGTCCCCATTAAGGGTCCCTCCTTTCCCCTTTGATGCCTCAAATATCCAAGGCAACCTGGGCCTACTAACCCCCCCCCAATCTGCAGACACCCCCCTGAACCCTAAGTATAATACAGGGGCCATAAGGTTCCTTCAAGGGCTCCAGAAGGGATCTATAAGGGTCTATAAGGGCTCCAGAAGGGATCTATAAGGGTCTATAGTATAGGGGCCTGAGTACCTAGAGCAGGGTTTGAGGGGTATATTATTCCATAATCATAATACGGAATCGCAAGAAAACCTATTCTAATCATCAAGGCCCCCTACATCAACAGATTCGACTATACGGTTGGGGGTTTTGGGCCTAGGACTGCTAAACTCTGAACACTAAAGCTTGAATAAAGCCCCGGGTAGGAATCAGCAGCCTACCTGATATAGGGCCTGAATAGTGCCCGGGCGATTGGGGAACATTACAGTAAGGAATTATATGAACTCTAAACCCTAAACCCTAAGTATTTATGTAGGCTTCTGTCGTATCACGGCACAATGAAACCAAGCCACTGAAGTGTCTGCGATGCCTGCCAAGGCTCTTGTTGTTGGCACTACGGTTGATGATATAAACCCTGCATTACCTTAAGGACCCTAAACTATAGGAATAATGGTATGTTCCTTGTTATGGGTAATGCAGGATGTATATCATCAACAGGAGGGATGTAGGGTTTAGGGTCTAAGGCTTGCTACTTTCTTCGGCACTCTAGTCGCCGGGATATTTAGGTCAAAGGATTAGGCTATACTGAACTTAACTTAGAACCCTAGCAAAAAAACATAGTTTTAGCTGTTCCTTAGGGATTATAATCACCAAAAATATAAAAATATATATTTCTAAGTACCCCTAAGTCGGGGCCAACCAGGGGTCCGAGGGGTGAAAGCACTGAGACCCTTTCAAGGCCTGGCTGAAGCGACTTTCCAAAGGGTTTAGGGTTTAGGGTTTAGGGTTTAGGGTTTAGGGTTTAGGGTTTAGGGTTTAGGGTTTAGGGTTCAAGGTTTTTAGGGCTTCTCTTTTCTTAGCGCCTTTTTCCGCCTAGCAGCTAAGGTCAGCAGAAGGTTTTAGGGTTTAGGGTTTAGGGCTTCAGGGTTTTAGGGTTAAGCAGGTGCGTGGTTTAGGGTCATGGGTCTAGAGCTTGGGGCTTAGTGATAGCCTCCGAACCGCAACTTGCAAGAGCAAGCAGTCGGCCTCCGCATACATACCATTATACGGCAGCGGAGGTCCATCGCAACCACGCCACACCCATTGGGTTTAGGGACCAGGGTTTAGGGTCTAGGGCTTGGGAGTTGGCCAGAAGCTGGAAAGGTAGCATATGCTGGAAAGGTGTCGTGTACGGCAGAAAGGCCAAGGAGCCCTTGAACTACTCCACGGTCCGTGAAAAACTCGGAGAGTGGAGACTATGCTTCGTGGAGTGGACAAGGGGGCGACTGCACGGACCCGGACCCAGCACCCCTCGCACGTGTTATCGGCACCCCAGCAGTGAAGTCCTCAGAAACCCCAACAATCCCTACACTAAGCGTAGAGAGCCCGTAAAAACTGCAAGGCGGTCCCTTTTCGACTACGGCCCACACGGCGGTGTTGCAGCCGAATACGAGGACCGGTCGCTGGACTGGAAATGCGGCGGGAAGCACGGCGACATGATGTTGTTGGCTCGAAGGTGGGGGGATTGAGGGTTTAGGGTTTAGGGCCTTTAGGGTTTAGGTTCCCCTCAAGAGATTCAAGTGCATCGTGACGCAAGCTGAGGTCGCCTGTTCACAAACAATACCTAAACCCTAAACCCCGAAACCCTAAACCCCTAAACTCCTAAACCCTAAACCCCAAACCCCAAAGCCCTACCGAGCTTCGGCAGTTTAGAGTTTGCTGGATGCGGGGTTTAGGCTTGCAAACTTGAGTTGGAGGGCTACTTGGAGGGTACCATAACCCTAACTACGGTCCGGTTTAGTGTACTAGTATGTTCCTACGACCGAAGCGTGGCGGGAGTCTGCACTTGTAGGTTGCAGCGGTGTTTTGAGCTTGAGGGCTCAGGGTAAACCTTTTTTGGGTTTGGGTTCCTGCTGGGTTCGGGATCTAAGTAGTACTTATAAGTCTACTTACTACCTACTAAGTCCCCCGACCCTCCAAGTAGGAGCAAGGCGTCGATGTAGTGGGATTAATAATCAGAACAAAATGCTGGGTCATGCTTTACCATGTTCATGTTCAGAAACCTATGGGTTCAACCCAAGGACAGTTGCTCAGCGGTCCAGAGAAGAGAGCTGGAACGCTTTGGCGAGAGTACCATTCTTGCAAGATAATCTGATGCAGAGAAGCTGCAGTAGAGGGCTTAAGGGTAAAGGGCAACGGGTAAGGGGCAACACAGCTCAGAAACACATGAGGCTTTGAAGAACCACGTTCAACTCCGGTATGAAGTTCTCCATCCGTCCCTACACCCCCACCCTAAACCCTGATACTCTAAACCCTAAACCGAATCATAAAGTATCCAGCTCCTTCGTACCACATTTGGTCTTGAAGCCCAAAACCAAGCATCCAATCCTCCACCCTCTGACCAAGCAGTTGTCTTAGGGCCTCAATAAATGAAATGGGATTCTGGGGGAGGAGGGGTATTGTATGGTACGACGGTATAAGTAAGGGCTAAAGGAGGCTAAGTATTTCGACCACTCACATTACACCTTCAACACTCGACACGCACAGAAAGCTTCCCTGTAGCAGGGCAGGACCAGAAGGATCCAGATGAAGTGTGGAGCGCTTGGCGAAAAGCTTTAAAAGTGATTAGAATTCAAGGCAAATCCGGCACCCCCAACCTCCTTTTCAAGAACCCTCACAACCCACGCCGCTAAATCCCAAGCCCGATTGCCGAATAGGAACCCTGACAGGACCTATGCACAACCCCTTATAGGAACCCCTACAGAGGAACCCTTCATGTAGACCCCGCATAAATAAACTTCATTTCGTCTGAGGCGCATCTTGCAAGGTATCAACCGGGGGTCTGCCTTAATAAAGAAACCCTAAACTTGGATGCCTCAATTGGTGGTTTGAAGGTAGGTAGGATTAAGGATCGCTTATACTTGGAGCCCTTTGATAAACCCGAAACTCTTAGCTTGCCAGCGAATTACGGTTGATGATATAAATCCTGCATTACCTTAAGGACCCTAAACTATGGGAATTATGGTATATTCCTTATTATGGGTAATGCAGGATTTATATCATCAACCGTATCAACCCCCACCCCCGGCAAAAGCAGTTGAAAGAGGCCTTGTAAACAGTTCTCGACTCCCCTGATCGAGCCAGGATTTTTGTTTGAGCGAACCTGTGTTTAAAAAACTTTAGAATTTCCCTTAAGAACCCGAAAAAGAGTTGAATAAAATCTATGTTTATCACATTTCCTCAAGAAGCGAGAATCTATTAAAAGCCGAAAAGATTTCAAAACCGCTGCGAATTCAAAGGTTCCTCAATGAAAAATCTACCCATTTCCCAGAAACTTGCGCTATCTTTTGAAATCTCACGGTGTGGGTGTTGGGTGTAAGTTGGCCGATGATAAACCCTAAACCCAATAGCCCTAAACCCTACACCCTAAACCCAAAAGCGTGGCTGGAGAGGCTCAGGGCGGACGGTGTCGCCAAAAGGCGTTGGATCCTCACGCCACGCGGCAGGGTTTAGGGTTTAGGGTTTAGCCCAGAAGTTCGGGGGTTTCGGGTTTAGGGTGTAGGGATGAGGCTTTAGGGTTTGGTTCGGGCTCGTGGGCTTATTAGGGCTTAGGTGTGTTGAAAAAGTTTAGAGCATGCGGTTCAAGGGTTGAAAGGGAGTTTGTGGGTGCAGTGATTGTGGTCTTTGCTTTACGGGTGAAGTTTGGGGATTCAGGATTTGGCATTGAGGGTTGATGGCTTGACTTTAGGGCCTCAGGGGCCTCAGACGTTTTAGGATTTTTCGGAGGGCCGGCTTGCTGTTTGAGAAACTGCACCCTCGGAACTCTGCTTAGGGTTTTGCGGGCCTACAGTTCAGGGCTTCACGGTAGCGAGCTCAAGCCCAGGCTTCAAAATGAAATTCAGGTCCAGAAGTTTTCTGAGGAAGAAGCAAAATCTCCAGGAAAGCAGGAGACTCCAACTGGGGCTCTTGAAAGCAAGCTACACGGGAAGCTCACCCAGACGAAGCTCTATGTTGCAACTACAGGAGCTGCGTCATGACCGCAACTAGGCACTCTAAACCCTAAACCCTGGAGCCAATTTGCCGGCAAAGGCACTGGATGCGAAGGTGAAGAGGACAGATTCCATCCTCCAAGAGCTCGCCTTAACTGGTTCTTGTTTTTGCCAAAACGGTTTAGGGTCAGTGTACAAACTTGCATTAAGGATAACGAAACCACATCAATTAGTGTAGATCCCCCTGATGGTAACTTGACTTGAATTCCTTACCAATAGCCCAGAGATTAACAAAGGGTCTTCTAAGGGATGGCGTCGCCTATGTAGGCCCCCGCAAGGCAGTTTCTGAGGGATGCAGACATCTCGGGGCCGACAAGGAAAGCTTTCAAGCCTGGTATTTCCTAAGCCCTCATCCCTCTAAAACAACACCGGGCCATTTCTGAGGTGCTCGCTTAGGAGTTGCCTCGGTACCAGCACTTCATCGTCACCAAAATCCATGGTGCTCGCCTCGTCGAACACGGGGTCGAACGAAGGTTACATTGTACAATCTTTCTGGTATATGGGGGGTTTCCGAAAATTCGGACCCTAATATAATTCCCCTACATAATGGGATCCTTATGATGAGGTACAACCATAACTGTCTGTGCAACTGATCATCTGTCCGATAGAGAAGACAGTAGCAGTAGAAGCCGCCGTCGCCGTCGCCGTCGTAGTAGTATATTGTCGTCGTTGTCGTAGTAGTAGTGGTAGCAGTACTGGTACTAGCAGCAGCAGCAGCAGCAGCAGCAGTGGCTTTCGCAGGAGCCGGAGCAGTATCAGTAGCAGTAGCAGCAGCAGCGTCAGCAGCAGGAGCAGTAGCAATAGGAGTACGAGTAGCAGTAGGAGTAGCGGTAGCAGTGGGAGTAGCAGTAGGAGTAGGACTAGTTGTCGTCGTCGTAGTAGTCATATAATTAATAGTAATCGTGGTCGTGGTCGTGGTCGTGGTCGTGGTCGTGGTGGTGGTGGTGGTGGTGGTGGTGGTGGTGGTGGTGGTGGTGGTGGTGGTGGTGGTGGTGGTGGTGGTGGTGGTGGTGGTGGTGGTGGTCGTGGTGGTGGTCGTGGTGGTGGTCGTGGTGGTCGTGCTGGTGGTCGTGCTGGTGGTCGTGCTGGTGGTCGTGCTGGTGGTCGTGCTGGTGGTCGTGCTGGTGGTCGTGGTGGTGGTGGTGGTGGTGGTGGTGGTGGTGGTGGTGGTGGTGGTGGTGGTGGTGGTGGTGGTGGTGGCGGTGGCGGCGGCGGTGCTGGAGGTGGAGGTGGAGGTGGAGGTAGAGGTGGAGGTGCAGGTGGATGTGCAGGTGGAGGTGGAGGTGGAATTGGCTCCAGAAATAGCAGTAGTAGGAATAATACCATTAGTAGACAGGCTCACCGGAACTCTTATACATATATATATATATATATGAGAGAGAGAGAGGGAGAGAGAGAGAGAGAGAGAGAGAGAGAGAGATAGAGAGAGAGAGGGAGAGGGAGAGAGTATTACTGCAGCGAACGACCATCATACGCAGTACAATGATGATAGTCCGGCTTCCAAATAGTGGCAAGGACTTCATGTAGCATCACGACACATCTAAGTGCGGTAATCTAGCAAGAACTTTGAAGAACCTTCTCTAGATTGGCCTGCCTGCAATCATTTCCGAGATGATCACATGGTCTTTTTCATACTCGCATCAGCGCGTCAACAAGATGTGGCAAGATAACAAAGAATGACCGCAACAGGATACAACACAACCACACAAGGAAATATATAGCCGATGGTAAAAGAAAATGTTCCAAAAGTCCGTTTACAGCTACACTGGCACATACATAGTGGTACCCTGAAACGCGCCAAAATAGAGATCTCCGCCGGCAATCTGGGGATGCTCAAGCCAGCTCCCCCCGCCTGGAACTCACCAAACAGGGGCACGTAAGCTTCTTTCGGCTGGCACCCCAGACCCCAGAGGCTGAGACCTTGTCCCTGCAATGCTTCTTCCTATGCTTTTGGATCGTCAGATTGCCACTGGATAGACAATTACCCAACACCTGTGACGGGTGGCTAGCTGCAACAGGCCCGAGGAGAGCAATCCGTGAGGAAAATTATGACAATCCGCTGGTTGTGGCGACTTGTGGCGTCGTAAAACTTGGAGAACTTGGTGCTCGGGGCAGTGTGAGCCAAGAATCGGTTGGAATGCAGCCAACCCTAAACCCTAAACCCACACATGCCTGCTCGTGATGGTCGCATGCAAGGAACATGACATGGACAAGTCCTTGACTGTAGATTCACCGTAGTATAGGGGCCTTAATAACTTAATAACTAGAATAGGGCTCTTGGGGCCCACTATGCTATATTTATAGTACGGAACCTTGGCACTTATTTTAGGCCCTTATACTAGATCGCACCCTTTTCTTCTGCCTGAGAGGGCGCACATTGTCAGGTCTAAAGCTGGCAGCTGCGCAAGTCAGATCCCCGCGGTCTTGTTGTCGGATGTTGTCGGATGGTAAGTAGCCATCTTACGGTGTAGGAGTGTAGGGCTTCCGGGTTTCGGAAGTTCAGTTAGGGGGAACTTAGCTTTCACGCCGGCAGGTGTGAGGGTGGCTTGAATGGCAATAGTATCGTGTCATAGGGACTAGTTTGAAGCAGGATCAGTTTTAATATCATACCATACTATATTGTAGTGATATGCTCTAAAATATTCAAGAGGCTCCGGTGCTTGCAGCTCATCGAAAACAGTGCCCGTCGTGAGCAGGGTCTTATGATGTGCGAAACTACCGAAACCTCATAATGCAGGGCGGCCAGAGAAAATGCCCTTGCAAGGCTCCCTAAGGTAAAAGCCAGAAAGTTGGAATATGATTATCCTAAACCCTTTATGGTAAATTATAAGGTATCCTACCCTGAAACCATATTCCAACTTTCTGGAGTTCCCTTTAAACAAAAAACTCAAGTCGAATACTATTGGTTTTTATTGTAACGTATACGCTGACTTCTGGGTCGGAGGAAACCCTAAACCCCGAACCCTAAACCCTAAACCCTGAACCCTGAACCCTAAACCCTAAACCCGGAACCCCGAACCCTAAACCCTAAACCCTAAACCCTAAACCCTGAACCCTAAACCCTAAACCCTATATCAAGTGCACTCTTTTGTGTTCTTGCTGGGGCTCCTTCAGAGGGGATGGAACCCTTCCAAGCCGAGCGTCTACTACAACATCCAACTTGCGTTTTGCTCTTGTTTTTCTCTCGCTTCCTCGAAAAAGATCTCACCCTGGATCGCAAAATCGATGTGTTAGGTGTTTTGCAGCTTGTCGAAAGCGCGGCCCATGGGGCACATTCGGGCACAGGGTCTGCAACCTTACCTAAATGCAAGAGTCCAAAGAAATCCTTCCCGTAAAGAAGCATTGGTTGCAAAATGTATCCTTTTTCGCGTAAGAGGACCTGAAAATCCCGAACGTAGTTTAGTCTTACTTGCTGCGAGGAATATTCATAAGCAGAAGAAGAAAGAGGAGAAGATAAAGAGAGAGAGAGAGATGATCGCCACGAAAGGCCAACGCACAAATCCTCAGGACCAATACTATCATTATTGTCATTACTCTCAGTATCGCCTTATTCTCATTAGTATCGTTATTATCATAAATTACCAATGTTATCATGACTACCATTATTATCATTAGTATTATGATGATTATTATGATTATCATGGTTATCATGATTTTCATTATTTTCATTATTATCATGATTTTCGCTGCTATCACTAATTATTATCATCATTCTCAGTATTATCATTGTTATCACTCTTATCATTATCAAAATGATCAGTACAATCATTGCGGACACTATTATCACTATTATCATAATTATTGTTAGTCATTCTTGTGATAATTAATATGATTGCTATTTTGTTGTTATTATTAGTAGTAGTAGTAGCAGCAGCAGCAGCAGTAGTAGTAGTAGTGGTAGTAGCAGTAGTACCATTCATGTGAATTCTACTATAGATTACTAACTGGTTTACCATTGCTACTACTATGACTATAAGCACTATTTATCACTGTCCTTAAGATTTTTGCTGTTTTTGCTCTTAGGTCGTATAATTAATATAAGGATTAAGAACCAGGTGTAAGAAGCCATCTGACTGTAAGGTTGCACGGCTAGGTGATGATCATAAGGAATCGCAGCATTCAGTTGCACCGACACCACGTAGACTCGGGGTCTTGACTCGAGACTGCAGCGACGAGGCACTCATACGCTGGGACACCACGCAGGCGCAGCTTAAGCCACTGAAGTACAAACAATCTCGCGTTGCTTGCCCTGTACCAACACAGCGAGTCCCGTTGTCCTTACACAGACGAACAGCTACAGGCCCACGGCAACAGCATCTACGCAAACCGAAAAAGCCATTGCGCATCGGATATGCGCCGACCACTTCCCCATACGTGCTAGAATCTCCACTTCGCTCCGGGCCGCGGACACTTCCCTTAAGCCCCAAGACCCTGAACTCTAAACCCGACCGCAGCTCATCTCACTTCGGAGGTGTGGCAGGCACGGCGCATCTCAGTCGCAGGGCCTCGCGCGGCGAAGTCCAGGGCACATTCAAAGACCCGGGTCATGGGAGTTTCCGAAAGTGGGGACCCTAAATAGTAGGATCCTTACTATAAAGACCCCCCCAAAATAAGGTACCCCCTATTTTCGGAAACTCCCCGGTTGAGACGCTATACTCATGATAACAAGGATAATCATGATAATGATGATAGTTTATGATAACAACGATACAAATGAGAATTATGAGAATCATGACAATAATGATACTAACGAAATTGATGAGAATAATGAATGAGAAAAATGATAGTATTGATCACAGGGTTTGGGAGCTTACGGCTCTTTGGGCCCAGTCTTCAAGGATCCGATCTTCCTGCCCCCAGGATAAACGCGAAAGACTCCTGCGAAGGAATTCCACGGAGCTTCCGGGAGGCTGGGAGGCTGGGTTTAGGGTTTAGGGTTTAGGGTGTAGGGTTTAGAGTTTAGGGTTAGGGTAGCGGCCCTGAGCTCAAACCAATATGAGAGCTTCCGAAAATTATGGGTACCGTATTTCGGGGTCCTTAAGATAAGAATCCTACTATTTAGGGTACTATGTTTGGGTTCCGTATTTTCGGAAACTCCCACTTTGTCTCAGCATGTCTGGGGCACGTGGAGCAGCGCATGGCTGCTACATCACATGTCTTGGGGCACCTGCTACCTTCACTTTGTCTTCTTGTCCTTCCCTTTGCGGAGCCTCGGTCCATGTGTTGCTGAGCTGAACCACCGAGGGTGGAGCTGGAGAGAAGTTCAGGATCCAAATTGGATAATGCACGTGTCAGAATCATAGTCGTCATGGTCGTCATCGTGCTGCCACTGCGGCTGCTGCTGCGTCCAAAGCTCGCGCTCCTACTCCTGCTCCTACTCCTACCAATATAATTAGAAGCAATGGCAATGGGGACACATGTCGGTAAAATCAGCCCCGGCATTTGGCAATGGAAAGGTTCTCTTCACATGTGCCACAAGTTAAGAGCATTGTACGATGAACACAACAAGCATTCCCAACCCGCCCCCCTTTCCATGGAGCGCACATCGCCAACACCTCCTGCTCAGTCATCAGCTTCTCCTGCTGCCACGCACGAAGGTGTAAGGTGTGGGCTTTCAAGTTTGGGGCATGAGGATCAAGGTTTAGGCCTGGGAAAGACATGGTCGCATCCGATGAGTGTCTTGTTCCGACCAACCCACGCATTCAGTGACTTCAAAATTCTTGTTGGTGGCTGGGCATTGTCAGTGACAGGGGGCCAAGGTGACGGTTTGGAGCAGTCTTTGAGACATGGTAAACACTGACGAGCACTAGCGGCAGCAATAGTCGAAGTAGCCGCCGTCGTCGCAATAGCATTGGCAGTGGCAGGGTCAGTTTTGTAGCAGGAAACAGTACAGCAGCAGCAGCAGCAGCAGCAGCAGCAGCAGCAGCACCACCAGCAGCACCAGCAGCATCAGAACCTGCAGAGCAGTAAAGCTGTGGTAGCAGCAGGCAGCACTAGCGCTATAGTCAGCAATACTTGTAGTTGCTGTCGTGGCCGGCGGCGTCTTTGTCAGAAGCAGTGCTGGTTTCGGCTACTGCCGTGCTGCCGTTCAGAACAAGTTTGGAAGGCACAGCAGCATCAAGCATCACCAGTCTGCGTCTGCGGTGCTGCTGGGTCTAGTGTCATTGATGGCACAATCAAAACTACGCATACGGGAGTTTCCGAAAATAGGGGACCCTAATACAGTACGCTAAATAATAGGATCCTTGTTATAAGGACCCCAGAATAAGTACCCTTAATTTTCGGAAGCTCCCATACCCATTATATAGCCCATTATACCCTAAACCCTAAACCCATTATATAGCCCATTATAGGGTATGGGTCCCCATTCAGCATCCGAAAAAACCTCGCTGGCCTGCGAGCTTGATTGGGTGGCACCAAAGCGTCGCTCGAGCTCAGCGTCCGTGAGTCCCTGGCCCCCCAGAGACTCCAAGATCCCTGAATCAAAGACTATGCCTGAAATCATATCGGGGATCCTACTATAATTTAAGGTACAGTCAATGATTCCCTCATAGATCCCTTTAATGGTCCCTTTAAGGAACCTTTGAAGGAATATTCCTTAATCAAGGTATATTGGAGCCTCTGGTTTCAGGAGCCCAAACTTACATGCTGCGGAGATCTCGGAGAGCTCACTGGGCTCCGTCTTCGCTCCGGCTCAAGATCTTGCGAAGAATTGGTATCATATGTGTATAATTACATGTAACTACATGGCAAAAAAAGATAAGATGATAAGGTCTGATAAGATGAGGTAACACAGTACGATATGGTCAAGCATATTCTTTTGCAGTATATCCATCTAGTGGACATGGGCAGATGGGAACTGACTGCTTCCCCTGACGCGAAGCCGCACAGATGGGCCTTGTAGTCGCTGGACACCCGGCCCTTGACACTCTCCCCCCAGTGCTGCCGCTTCGACTCATTCTCCTTCATGACCTTGGGATACCCTAAATCATAAAACCCCAAACCCTAAACCCCTCAATCCTAAACCCTAAACCCCTAAATTCTAAACGCCTAAACCCCTACACCCCAAACCCCAAAAGCGGCTCTTGTGGAAGCTTTCACCGGGAGCCGCACTGCCTTGAAGTGGCCAGAAGCATGCTTCTCTTTCCTGCACAGCAAAAATTCTGATCCTGGGTCGGCTTCCCCTTGAAATAGGGACCGAGGACGTCGTCTGCGGACCTTCTTGACCTGGTCTATTCTATAAGATACTCGAGCTCTGCCACCATTACCATTGCTGCTGTTACGGCATCAAGCCATGCCAAGGCTACTCTGAACCCTTCGGCAAAGCCATAGACTTGGACGGATACTCATGTCAGCTGTACTGTAATGATAGTAGAATACAGCCCATGAGGGTTCCGTACTATGCAAAACGTATGCTACGGTTGAAGATACAAATCCTGCATTACCTTAAGGACCCTAAACTATCGGAATTATGGTATATTCCCTATTATGGGTCATGCAGGATTTATATCATCAATAGTACACCCTGTGCATATCGTATAGTATACCCTAAACCCTAAACCCTATACCCCCTTTTTTCGGCTGCTGGATCGCTTCACGGGCCTGTCAGCCTCTGCGCTCGCTGCGGCCTCACAGAAGCTTTCAGTTCTCTGACCAGCAGTATCTTAGGTATAGAATAGTACAGCATAGTACAGTATTAAGTAAAAGGAGAGTGCAGTATAGTATGTAGAGTATTTTTAGTATAGCATATAGTATAAAGTAGACCATAGTAGAGCAGCCGGCATATTCAAATCCAGCGCTAGACTGCCACATGTCGTTGACCTCTCTGCGCAATTGCACGCATCAGCCAGCTATCAATGACCAGCACGACTTGATCTACCGTGAGTTGGCGACAACGGTTGATGATATAAATCCTGCATTACCTTGAAGACCCTAAACTATGGGAATTATGGTATATTCCTTATTATGGGTCATGCAGGATTTATATCATCAACAGCAACTACACGAAATCTCTGAGCCACTGGCGTCGTCTTCGTCCTCCAGGGCTACGACAGCAAGACTATTGGCTTCAAGCTACAGAGCAGAGCGGTTGGATTCGGGACTGTCGCACGTCCACACGAGATCCGAAGAGGAAAGGAAGGGTAGGGATAGGAAAGAGAGTCTGATGTGTCCGAGAACTCACCGTCAAGTCAAAGTGCGATTTACTTCGTATCCAGTCAAGCTTGACCAGTGAGGTTCCGGGTCACTCATACTCCGGAGACAAGAAGATGCTGATATCCATGCTCTACTTACTAGAACTTGCAATTTGCAACATACCATGATCTGGTGCTGTTCCTACTTGCAGCGGCAGCCAGATGGGTCACCATACTGATGGGGACCCGGCTCTAGGTTCACCCTTGGCAGTTTCCCATCACGTGTCCTCTCGCTTCTTCCTCTTCTCCTCCTTTCTTCTCCTTTTCTCCTGCCACAAGATGAGATAACTTTGGCAGATAAGTCTGGCAGGCGACGCATCCACGGCGGCTCGAAGTGCCCCATGGCTCAGTAGATGCCAAGACTCGCAAAGCTCACCCTCAGAATCCCCGGTGGCGGATCCTCCTGCTTCTCTTCCTCCTTTCGCTTCTCCTCCCTGACATGCTCCACAGCTTCGCTACTAATGTAGGAATTACTGTAAGAAACCTTGGGCCTGTATTTGGGTTCCTTATATGAATCTTACTATTCTGTGGTTTTAGGACCAGTTCTTAATCAGGTTCCTACATTAGTAGCTTCCAAACCAGTCACTTTGTGCTGAGAGCAAGAGCCACAATCCCAGTGCTAGTTGGAATATTAATATGGAAACCCATCCAGATCATCATGCCTAAACCCTATAGCGTGAACCCCAAACCCAGTCTAAACCCTATCACAACTCCAGGTTATATATATATATAGGTTATAGCATGCAGTAAAAATGAGAGAGTCTGGTAGCAGCGGTAGACGAGGAAAGGCTGCTGTCTCAACGTGGCCGCTCCTGCCACCAATGGTACTGCTGCGACGGTTAGCTGGCTGAATGTAGAAGGTGTTTCTCTTAGGGTTAGGGTTTAGGTTGTGATGCACATTTGGGGCACAGCTGGCCCTTCCAGCCCTGGACAATTCCCAAATCCCTGGCGCAAGAGGACGCTTGGCAGCTTTTTGTTCGCTCCACTGCCGCTGCAATGCTGACAGTTCTCACTACCAGCATGCTCCCTGAGCCCTCTGGTTGGAGTGGGAACGGCGTAATTTTGACATTTTTCTTTTTTTTTTGGAAAGGGGACACGAGGCTGGGGTCCAGCTCTGGGAGCAAGCCCAGCTCAAAGCCCGTGCTCAGACAGACGTGCCGTACCTGATCGAAAACTCAGATCAAGAGGTCCAATGTCGGGGTTTAGGGTTTAGGGTTTACATCATTACACTAGGGTTTTGGTCTATACTTCTGCGATGAGGAACCCTGAGGAATGTTGGCCGCCATCATTCCGACCGTCAAAGTCTTAGGATCAGCTTGACTCCCTTCTTCTCTGATATTCGGCTCTAGAGGATGGTTGACGAGAACCCCCAAATACAGCCTTATTAAGGGTTTAACAAGGGCTTGTTAAAGCACTAATAAGGAAGGCTACTCAATCAAGGCTTGTATGATAAGGGAGGGAGCCTAACTGGGGGTAGCAAGAAACTCCATGATCAACTGACTCAATCGCTCTCCGACCATGCAAAATTTCGTTGTCAAACTTACGGGCTTGACACTTCGGCAGCTCGGAAAATTCTACACTTCGCCAAACTCCGGACACCCCAGGCGTCTGTTCCCGTACTTCACCCTTAGCCCCTCAAACCCCCTAAGTCGAAACCCGGAAACCCCAAACCTTTAAAGCTCTAAACTCTGAACCCTAAAGGGCTTGCTTCCACACCCTACACCCTTCGACCCATTCCAAACAGATTCTTCTAAGCCTTTACAGAAAGAACCCGATATCTAAATCCCAAATCCTCACCCTCAAAGCTCTAAAGGCCCCAAAGGGTGCTTCGACGCCATGAGCGTGTTGAGCTTCCGCAGCTCCTGTGCCGTCTGCGGTTTAAGGTCCAGGTTGTTCCTGAAAGCTCGGCTTTGGGGTTTGGGGTTCAGAGTTTACCGTTTAGGCCGACTGCGCGGGGAGCTGTACCCAGAAGAGGCTCTTTCAGCGAGTTACGCGGGCTTTCATAGGGGGTTCATAGAGCTTATAGTGATTATAGTGGTTCACAATGGTTGTTTGGTGTTGATGTACTTTATGAGCGGCTTAAAACGGTCAAGGGCATGGTGGGCTTCACGGGGGATACACGTTTAAAGAAGGGCTCTACAAGGCATGGTAGGCTCCACGGGGGATAAATGTGTCAAGGAGTTTAAAGGGTTTAGGGTTTAGGGGTTTAGGGTTTAGGGGTGTTGTACCGGTGTCCTAAGTGCGTTAAACGGTCCCGACTGCAAGCGTTAAAGGCTGGGTCATTATTCAGCCGTCGGCATTCGACGTGTAAGCTTGAAAACATATTGATTTTACATACTCCCACGACAGTATGCACATGCTTATCTTATCTTCAGATGTACTCTTCATGCATGTCCAACAGTAGACAAGCATCCAGCACCATATCCTAACGTTGTATGTGCAACACATCCAACTCTGCTAAGATAGCCGTGGTATCCTCACAATGAAACACTCTCCGAGATCGGGGGCGCATAATGAAACCTCACCCTCCTGAGCGCAAACCCAAACCAAGCGTGACTCCCGAACCGAAGACACTCAAAACCCAAACACAATCCTGCACACTGAAACCTAAAGCAAACTAGCCCAAACCAGACCCTAAAACACCATAAGACCCTAACCCCTCGAAGCCTGCACCTTCGTATAAATATACTCCTGGTAGGGTTCGTTTTCAAGACTATAGCATAACTTTCAGCATAACCTGTTCCCAAATGATGGAACCGGTATGATAGTGCCGCGTTAGAGAACCTTTCACAGAACCCCACTCTCATCAGCTTAAGGCACCTATGCTGCATCCCAAGAGCTGATCCAAAGGGCCCTAACGGAACCCTAAAATCTGATTATCCGTTTTAGCATTGTTGTTATCATTGTTATCGTTGCTATTTCCATTATTGTTACTAGGACGTATTGTTATTTCTTTTTTTGCTAGTAAGTAACAATGCAAGTAGTAGAAATAGTAAGACTTATTAAGGCCCCGAACGCAACCTCCCTCCCACCACCCTTGCGCCTCCCGGATGTCAGTCAGCAGAGGAGTAGTCATGTCGGGCCTATGAGAGTTTAGGGGCGTATAGAGGGTTTGGGGTTTAGGGGTTTTAGGGTTTAGGGGCTGTAGGGTTTAGGGTTTATAGTTTTAAGAGTTTTAGGGTTTGGGGGTTTAGAGTTTTAGGGCTTTTGGGCTTTAGGGATTTTAGGGGTGTATGGGGTTTAGGGGATCAAGGTTCCTGAAGGGTGAGGCTGCTATATACGGGCTCTTCTTAAACGGGCTCTTTCAGGATTTAGGGCTTGCGGATTTAGGGCTTAGGATTCTGGGGTTTACCTTAACCCATCAGAACCTACTTTTTTGCAGGGTCCCTATAAATCCCATACGAGGGTTTATAAGAAGAACCTACAAAAAAGTAGGGTTTAGTAGGTCTAGGTAGGTCTTAGGGTCAGAGCTTGTGGGCTTGAGGTTTAGGGCTTTAAGGTTCATAAGGCTGCCGGGTGTAGAGTTCAGAGTTTTACAGTCCAGGGCTTTAGGGTTTAAGGTTGAGCTTTGAAGGGCTTAAGGTTCAGGGTTCTAGGGTTTAGGGTTTAGGGTTTAGGTTCTAGGGCTTAGAGTTTAGGGCTATAAGGTTTTGGCTGTAGGGGGGTTGAGGGTTTAAGGGTTTGGAGTTTACGAATTTTAGGGGAGAGGCGTGCAATGCGGCTTGGACAGCAGCACGAGGAATCGAAACTCTGCCACGAGCCATGCCAAGAAGCAAACTGTGCAAAGATACGAGGAAGAGAACGAAGAAAAGCGTATAAAACCCTAATCCCCGAACCCCTGAAACCCTGAACACCTAGACCCTCAACCTCGTGACCCCACCCTAGACCCTAAACCCTCCCAGAAAAGCAGCCGGGCCCCCGGACATCGTGGAAGAAGTCATCTTCTGCGGCTCGGGCGCACGCTGTGGGAGCACCCCCGTCATCAGCGCACCGGTCGGAAGCTCACCACCTCATAGAGAGGTTTGCGGTTTGGGGTTGAGGGCATCGGGATTGGGGACTTTAGAGTTTAGGGTTTGAGGCTTCGGTTTAAGAGTACCAGGCTTTGGGTGTTTCGGAGTTTAGGAAGTTCAGATAGAAGAGGGCCTAAGAGTAGAGTTTCGGCTTGAGGAGAATAGATTGAAAGTGTCGCGGGGACAGAATTCCGATTGTTTGCATAGATCCTACACTGTAATTTTCAATCCCAAATCCTAAATCCTTAAAACCCCATGAGACTGAAAGGAAAACAAAAACCGCTTTGCTGCATCGGAAGGACATCTGGGAGTTTCCGAAAATTAGGGGTACCTTATTTTGGGGTCCTTATAATAAGGATCCTACTACTTAGGGTACTATATTCGGGCCCCCTATTTTCGGAAACTCCCATCTGATCCTACCGAGTCTTTCTTCTTCAACCGTCTGCACGGGGCTTCCGGGATGAATATACGGGCCTGAATCATTAAAGCAAGGTTCCTTCCAGGGTTGCATAAGGGTTGCTTTTCAGGTACTCTAGCATAGGAGCCTTCGTAATTAGAGCAGAGTTTGGGGTGGTAGTGGTACATGATGAACCCAGAGACTCCAATATCCCTTAATTAAGGAATATTCCTTAAATCATATTAGGGATCCTACTATAGGGACACATCCGCGTATATTTGCAATGAGGAATGCTTAAGGAAAGGAAGCGGTACCTACTCCGACCCCTGCAACATGGGGCTTGGACTCCAGCTCTTTGGGGATGAGTGCTGTGTCACGCTCTCTCTCTGTCTCTCTCTCCCTCTCCCTCTCTCTCTTACATATATACATATATTATGTGTTATGTATGTATGTATGTATGCAGGCACTTGTCTGTTTATGTATATGCTTGAATGACACGCTTCGTCGGATGCTGTAAGCTCCCGGCGCTTCATGCTCCAGACCGCCTGCTTGAACCTCACTCTGAACACATCCCGACACCAACCAGAACCCTACACCCTAAACCCCTAAACCCCTAAACCCCTAAACCCTAACCCCTAAACCCTAACCCCTAAACCCTAAGCCGTGCCCCTCAGCTTAAAAGGCTCGGTGAAAGGCGAGGATGCTGTGGCGCTTCTGAGGTTGATGCTCATGATAGTCGTTCCTTCCTCGTTGGTTGCAGTGGTGGTACGGTCTTTTATCCTGATGTTGGCAACGATGGGCGGAGGAACTGAATAGGAAGAGGAGGAGGACGAGGAGCAGGAGGAGGCGGATTGGGAGAGGTTGAAAGATAGGACGAGACAGACGAGATGCTTATGATGACTACAATCTCGTGTGGCAACATCTGTCATTCCCCACCGCCACCACCACTACACCATACTACACCCATCACCTCTACCACCACCACCACCACCGCCGCCACCGCCACCAGCACCACCACCACCGGCAA